AGTTACTAGTCTTGCTAACTGTGTATTGGACAGATCCCCATTAAAGCACCTGCTGCAATAAAAAATGGAGAATTGGCTAACCTTTGTAAAATTGGTTGTGAATAAAAACAAACAAACATTAGATTTGGCAGGGGGATCAGTAGAACCAGATGAAAAAGGACAAGCAGACATGGATAAGGATAAAAATGTATGGAGTATAGATGGAACTTGAATCAAGAAATTGATCCCATTTGCAGCTTCCATGGATAATACTTGTTACCTTGTTTCTGTGTTGCTTATTGTACCACATTGAAGAAAAGGCTGGATGAAAGTGAACAATGCCAGTTCCTCTTTAAAAATATTACATACTTTAAATAGGGGTTTTTGCATACCCTTAGTCAGAACAGAGTGGCGCTGTGGTCTAAACCACTGAGCCTCTTGGGCTTGCCGATCAGAAAGTCGGCGGTTCGAATCCCTGTGATGCGGTGAGCTCCAGTTGCTCGGTCCCAGCTCCTGCCAACCTAGCAGTTCAAAAGCACGCCAAAAAGTGCAAATAGATAAATAGGTACCGCTCCAGTGGGAAGGTTTCCATGCGCTGCTCTGGTTTCGGTGTTCCGTTGCGCCAGAAGCAGCTCAGTCATGCTGGCTACATGGCCCGGGAAAACTGCGGACTAACACAGGCTCCTCAGCCTGTAAAGCGAGATGAGCACCGCAACCCCAGAGTCATCTGCGACTGGACCTAACTGTCAGGGGTCCTTTACCTTTACCTTTTTTTAGTCAGAACATCCTCAAAACTAGCTGGGTTAAACTTTTATTCACAGGATAGCTTCACATTTCAGCAACAGATGGAGGAACAGCAATAATCTGAGGTGTGTGTTGTAGTTAGGACTATGCTCAATGTTCCCCAATTCCTAATTAGAGGAAGTGCCCCATATTCTAGATGTGGACTTTGGTGGGAATTTTTACATTTTCCAGAAGTTGTTCACTGCTGTTGTTTCCATATTGGTTGCTGTCCCGATACTCCCTCTTTCTCCTTTCTATAATGATATAAGCCAAATCATCAATTGCTTAAGATGATGAGCCAATTTGATTTGGCTTCATGTTGCTGACATCACAGAAGGCAAATAAAGCCATTTCAGAATAAGGGCATGCTTCCTACATAAGCAACTGCTTTAGCTCACTTTTGAAGAAATTGCCAGAAGGGGAAGTGCCTTTTTAATGTGCGGGGTGTGTGTGAGTTTTTTCATAAAAATGTTTCTCCTCTCAACTCTCCAGCCAGCACAGCTCTAAATGTAGTTCATGCTCCTATTGACTTGACCATGAAGAAAGTAGCCATTTGAGTACAGATGGATCATATTTTTTGTTTCTGTTATTTTGTTTAATTAGGTTAAGTGGATTGTGATTTCATGGAGTAATATAGGAAACATAAACTGGGTAAATTAAGAAAGCTCCAATTTATCTAGAAACCTAAATGGCTGTTTAAGATGTAAAGTAATATATTATCTGAGGAAAATATTTGATTGCTGGCAATCATGTCTGTGTTACAGTCAGTCATGGAATTCATGTGTATATGTGTATGATTGTGGTGCTGCAAAGTCTACACACACACACACACACACACACACACACACACTAGCCAGCAGCCTCAGTGGCCAACCAGATGTATATGGGAAGACAAGAAGAAAAGTATGATTATTGCTTGTTTGATAATCTGTGTATTCGTTGCATTATATTTTCTATATGGAAATGACTTCAGTATAGAAAATCCCCCAACTTTTGAAGACATTATTTTAAGTATGTTCTCTCAAAATAGCATTTAATAGAAACAATGAGAGAGGGTTGTTGGGCTTAATCTTTTGTTAGGAATCCAGTCTCCTATATAGCTTATTTTTAATGAGCTTTGTGATGTTGAAGGGTGCCCCTGAACACATGCATACGTTTTCCATAGAGGAGTGGAGAGTGCAAGTTTTCCTAAACCAGTGATGGCCAAACTTGGTTCTGCAGCTGTTTTGGGACTACAATTCCCATCATCCCTGACCACTGGTCCTGTTAGCTGGTGGTGATGGGAGTTGTAGTCCAAAAACAGCTGGAGGGCCAAGTCTGACCATCACTGTGTCCTAGACTGATTTGAATCCTAAGCACTCTCTCTTTAAAAAGAAACCAGTAGAAATTTCATCTCAACTAGCCTGGTCTTTTTTTCACAATTGACAATGGAGCTTAATAATACCACAATTATTCTAGCCCCCCTCCTCCACTGGTGCATTCGCATTTGTATTTCCTCTACTTTAATCGGGAGAGTCAAAGAAGGGCAAATGGCTGTTGGGAACCTTCCTGCTAAGTGTCGGAAGAAACTCAATCCATGTTAAATTAGACAGTTTGGATGAGTCAAGTCTCTCTCTCTCTCTCTCTCTCTCTCTCTCTCTCCCCTGTTTCTCTCTCTTTCTCTAGAAGCTGTCCATCCTATAAATAAAATCTTTTGATAGATGGAACCAATTAAACACGTCTAAGGTGAAGATTTATTTTTTTACAAATGCTGCACGAAAGAAGAATACTTTTCTCTGCTCTGAAACAATGAAGGCTTCTTTTTCCTCTTTTTCTGTAGGATTGTGGATTGTGATAGCTGGAAAGGGTTTTCTGATTGTAGCCCCTTTCTTCCCAGTCATAAAATAAATATTGCTTAAGATGCTGTGATAGATACATCTTTTCAGACTTGGTCTCTAAATGTGTACCATATTGAAGGTGGGCAACTAACTTTACCCTTATTTGAGTTTAATATACTCCATCCTATACTATAGATTATACTTTACAATGCAATGCCTTTATTAGACCAGTCAAAATGTTGCAAAAGAACAAGTTTGAGAGAGGAACTTGACTGTCTCTGTCTCAATGTGTATTACAGCTATTCTCTATTTTGTTTAACAAAGTAAAAGTGTCTGATTAACATGCATAGCTTCCCATATTAGTCAGCCAGTCAGTCAGCAGTTCGTTGTCCAGCCCAAGCTGACCAGATCTTGGGCAGAGGTGAGAATTCTCTTTCATCACAGTACCATGCTGGATGTATGCCATAAATTACAGGTCTCTAGGGAACTTACTTGCACCAAGCTGCCCCTAACTAAATTCTTTCTCCAATATTTATATTTGTTTTTCACTTTATCCCAGTTTTTTTGCATACAAGGCAGCTAAAAACCATCACCAGAACTTTAAAAATTTGCAAAATATATAATGCATTAACAACAGCTTCTCTCCCTCCTTATATGGTTTATTATCTTTTAAACTGGATGAGGACTGGACAGACCTTTAAATGGAGGCCTGTCCTCTGTGACCACCCTAACTGCTAGTTATGTGCTGGTTTTCCAGATGTAACTTCCTAGTAAACTTGCATAGGTTAGCCAGTGATATCATCCTTGCAAGGAGTAAGGAGGATTTTGACATCTATTGTCCAGTAAAGTGACTGGACCACTGATAATGAGGTGTCTTGTGAGCCCAGGTGGGGATATTCAAGAAGCATGCCATCCTGTGCTTGGAGGTAATGCCCCTTTTGATACAGACATCAAACTGAATGCAATCTTGTAAACGTCTCTCATGAAGCTTAATGATTGCTAGCTCATTTGAGAATAAGTTTTGGCTTCCTTCAGGATTTTCTTTTGTTCATGACTGGCGTGTGTGTGTGTGTGTGTGTGTGTGTGTGTGTGTGTGTGTGGAGTCCTGGGTTGGGAAGAGCCCTGGCTTAAAAAATGCTTTTGTAGCACATATTTCTTCTTGCAGGCGCCGAGGAGTAATGTACAGGGGCAGATTTTCCTGTGGGTGTTTAGAAGTGGGTGGGGAAGGGCCTTGTTTATCTTCTGAGTGACTTATGAGCGAAGGGGCAGGCATGCTTCTGCAGCAGCTTGTTGCTATAAGGCAGGAAGGGTGAGCCTTCGTCCCTGGTGGCAGAACACACTTTTTTTTTTGTTCCTTTGCTTTTTTAAAAAAAACAACAACACACCCATACGATTATGACTGAGAAAATGAACCAGAAAATATGGATGGGGTGGGTGAGATGGGAAGACTTTCACAAGAGGAAAAAAATAGGCCTGGGCATCACTCAGCTGGGTGGCTGGGGAGTGGAGGCAGGGAGAAAGAATCCAATGTAAGCCTTTTGTGTTGGTTTAGAGAACTTTGAAGAATGACTCTTACTATGCGAAGTGTTGTGGTTTTTTTTTACAGCTGCACAAAAAAGAGATGACTCTATACGTACATCTCAGTTTAACGGGGGACACACTGGGGGGAGTTTTATTTGGAAAGAGCTTGAGCAGCGGAGCAGAGGGGAACTGTGTAAGCAGGAATCTGGTGCTGTAATTCTTCTTCTTCTTCTGTTTCAAGTAAACAGTCCTTTGCGCCCTCCCCTCTTCCCTTCCTCCACCCCCACCTCCCTTATTCAACACAGCTCATGTGTTTTCTATTTAAGGACTGCAGCGCGAGGCAAATATGATTGGCGTACACAGCCCCCCTTTTGACTCTTAGCTTGAGCCTGTGAGAGCGAGGCAGGAGCTCAGCCTATGACGGGGAGAAGTTGTGGACTTGGGTGTTTTTCCGCCCTCCCATTTAGCGAGGCAGCCCTGGATTTCAAACCCCCCACCTTTTTTTTTATGCTGGTTGTGACCGAGATGGATTTTTCTCTCTGAATGGGAACAAGGATGGTGTGGCAACCATGTTGGAAAGAGGTTTATTTTCAAACTCCATCCTGCAGCTTGCTATCTAACAATATGCTGTTGTGTTAAACTCTTGGGTGGTTTTTTTCCTCCTCCCCCTTCTCCCCTTTTCAACCAGTCTCCAATGTTCTTCTGTACTACTCAGCTGTGGGCCAGAGGAAACTTCTTCTATATGGCCAGCCATTTGGGGATATGCCGCGAGCCAAGGTTGTATTCTGATTGGCTTGGCATTGGTGACAAATCAGCCTATCATGAGTCGGATGGACAGAGGTCGCTCTCGAGGAGCCATGGCTGGAAGCTGGCTCACAGCTTGCTTTTTCCCTTCCCCAGGTGCTGACGCTAGTTCTGAACCTATGATCCTGGACCAGTATGTGGTGGTGTCTAACTATGAGAAACAGGAAAACTCGGAAATCAGCCTGCAAGCTGGAGAGGTGGTGGATGTAATAGAGAAGAATGAAAGTGGTAAGACATTGAAAGAAATATATATGTACTTTTCTCCATTCCCCCTCCAGCCCTTCATGTATCTTATGTATTTCATCTGGTAGAGTGCCTGACTCGAGGTGGGATTTCTCTCTTCTCTCCCCCTGCCCCCACCAGTTGGTTTGGGCTTGGGGCCAAAATATTGCCTTTTGCTGTAAGAATGTCTTCCAAGCCTGTACATTAATTACCCAATATACATTAATGGAAAGTCTTGGGTTGTGGAGGAGGGGGATGTACACAGCATATGCTATGTATTTACTAAGAATGATACCGTTTCTCTGCTGGAAAAGATCTCAGTATTTCCATTACTTGCCACTATTTTTGAAGGATTTATTGGATGGTCTATTTAAAAATATTCCTCTGGGGATGAAAACCTGGCATGGCAGTTCAACCTTTCACCCAATCACAAAGGACTGAGCGGTGTGGGATCTTTATAGATTATATGGCAGTGAAAGGTTTAAAGTGCTTTTAAAAGTGGTTGTGTGGGTAACATTTGCTTTTAACTGATATAATTCATTTTCGAATAAGTATTATCGTTGCTCAGTGAAGTAATTCATTCTGAGTGTTTTACTGGCTAACAGCAATCTGTCTTCTGTGTTGTAATGAGCTGTATCTAGTTTAGACCATGAACAATACAATTTGAACTGAAACCTTCTAGCAAGAGACCACTTAGATTTTAAAATACACACTTCTAGTCTCCAATTAATAAAATGTATCAATCCAAGACTGTATATGTAATAGATAGAAAGTATTGGTGTTCATATTTTGGAAGCCAAACACTTGGGTTCCTTTTTAAGGGAGAGAAGCATCAAAGCTCTTTGGGCAATTCCTAGATTTTGTTTCTCTACATAGCAGTTTTAAATAAGCTATCAGACAAAACAAAAATGTCCAAAGACTTGAATACATATTACCTGGCAGTTTAGAGTTAACCTTCAGTCAAGTTTCTGTCTCTTCATCCACCTTCACACTTTCTAACTTTCTAACTTCCCCCTGACTTTACCCACCTGACTTTACTCTGCCGCTGGCATTTCCCCTTGTTGGAGGACAAAGCTGTGCCTTGCAGGCAGCCTTCCCTGCGGCCCCTAAGCTAACAGGCTGCTCTTGGGTGTGGTAGATGATGTTGTCCCATCACCACTGTTGCAGTAAGATTCAGTGGTCAGTGTGGCCAGCTTCTCCACATGAACTGGGTGTGGGTGCTCTTGTCATTTGACACACACAATAAAATACCTTGGGGTCAGCTCTGAGAAAGGTTGAAAGCTTATTGGGCAACTTGATCTAGAGCTTAAGCAGTGTGGTAGGTTGAGACACTCTGGCCAAGGGTTTAAAACATAGTTTCCATTATCTTCTACAGAAAACTATAGTCCCAGTACTGTGGTAAAGGTGGGAGTGTAGCTCTACAGCATTCCCTCCCCCAACCCAGTGCAGGAGCAATGACAATCTACTGGAGTTCCAGGGTGGTTGATGGTCTGTCCTTGCTCAGACAAGTGAATGGGGACAAGCTTGTTTGTAAAAGGCTAGCACAGAGGAAATAACAGAATAAGGGAAATAATCAAGCAGAGGCTAGATGCTGTGTTTTTCTTTGATGAGATTCCTGCTTCATGCTAGTAGTTTAAATGGTAACACTCAGTGCTTTTTCCCCTAAAAAAATGTTTAGGAGTACTCTCATTTTCCTACTCATATTGAAATACTGCCCCTTAATGAGGCCAAACTTAGATTCACAAAATGTTTAGGGGTATGTGTACTCTTGCGTCTCCCCCCAGAGAAAAAAGCCACTATCCATAACATAACTGATGCATATGGCTATGTTCAAAACATACAGAAGGCAGAGTGAGGCAACCACCTCAGGTGGTGGATGCTTGGGGGATGGGGACAGCAGCAAGATGTTGGAGGAGGCAAAAGTTGTGTGTAATGTACAACTTGCCCTATTACCCCACCCCCCCAGGCTAGCTAGCCTGCTACACTTGGATTCAGTGGAGGATGTTGTCCCATGACCACTGTTGAAGTAAGATTCAGCTAAGGTCACATTCCACTACTCCTGGAAACTGTAGTTTGTCAAGGGTGTTGAGAATTGTAGCTCTGTAAGGAGCAAACTGTGGTTCCCAGGATTCTTTGCTGGAAGCGGTGTGCTTTAGATGTGCTTTAAATGTGTGGTGTGGATGTGACATTCTGCTCAGTTTCCGCACATAGAGCAGAGAGAGGGTGCTATCTTTTCCGTTTGCCTCAGGAAGCACAATGTCTTAGTTTGCCCCTGCTAGGAAGCTGCATAGCAGAAGGCACGGAAGTAGTGATGTGGTTTTTCCAGAAAAAATTGAAATGGAAAATTTCACAAAGTTTCCTATGCAAACGTGGGTAATTTGCACAGAACAATTTTCCTTGGGATTTTTTTAGTTTTGGGAAATCTCTTGATGTCCTAGAGAGGATCAGATTTAGCATGTTTATCTTACTTATGTTTAGTAACCAAGCTAAAACCTTCAGAATTGCCAAGGTACCTTGATACTATGTTTGAAATGGGCCTCCATTTATTGTTATTAACGAATTTACAAAACGTTTTTTTTCCTGCAAAAACAAAAACAAAACTACAAGCATTTCTGCTGTGAAACATTTTCCACCCCCATCATAGCAGAGTAGTGAAAGTGAGAGAAGGCTGGACCAATTACAAATGCATATGTGTGAAATGAAGGGAACATTAAGGAAGAGGTATGGGGGGGCGGGCACACAATGCTTTAAAATTAAACACTTGCTTTGAGGGACAGAGTGATTAAGGAGGACAAAAATGGAAGGAAAAAGATGGGGGGAAGCCTGGTTATGGCAGCATCTGAAGGAGAAATCTTCCCAGTGTAGTGAGGGAAACCCTTAAAAGAATGACCATCTGGCAGCCAACTGGGCAGTTCCAGAGAGCTTCTCCATCCCTTTATGGAGGGACTGTCTGACTCCCACTATTCTTCTGGTCTTGGCTATTGTTTCACATATAACAAACACTGAGGATCCAGAATGTCCAAGTAATGGAAGAAGAGTCAGACTCCAGGCAAACAAGGGAATTTGCTCTGGCACTTCTTTAGAATGTAAAGTCTGTCTTTCAGGTTGTTTCTCTGCAGTGAAACTGCCAACCATTTGTCACATGATTCACAAACACATCCCCAATGGTCCTAAGTGGAAACTCTAGTCAAGATGCCACCTATGTGTTAAATTCCATTGTTTGTCTTTTTGCTGTGATCTATCATTTTACGGTGCAGCGTATTTTTCTTTTTCTTTTTTCTTTTCTTTTTCTGTACACTGCCTCTTTCTGCTGAGTAGCAGATAGCTACTGCACAGGCAGATGTGGAAGAGTTTCTTGTGGCCATTGCATTGTTTCCATAGGCATGTAAAAGATAATTATTTTAAATATTCTTCCTCATGGCTGCAGAGGACTTGTACCTGAAGTCATCTTACCTTAAAACTAAGGGAAAGAAATGCATTCTTTCCACTCAAGGCAGTCAATGCATCATACTCCACATTTTAAGATATATAGAAATATACTCTCTGGATATGACCTTTCAAAAGGTTTGCTTATGTGTGTGTTTTCTGGTGCAGTGTTTTTACTGAAGAAAGAAGCAAGCGGCAAGGTGGATGAGTTTTGGAGGTTGCCCACTGATGTTGCGCAGTTTGGGGAGAGAGACTTGCCTCAAGGCCAAATCTATACTGGTGCATTAAGTTTTCACTTTTCAGCCTAATACAAAGCCAGAATGTTGGTCTAACTAATCTTATACTAGGCAAACTAATAGAACAAAGCTTAGGGGACACATGATTATCATCTTGGAGATGATTGAGTGAACTTTGGTATCTTAAAGGGTCAGACTAGGCAAGGCAAAGCCCTGCCAGAATGAATACTGAACGAGTGTGAATGTGTTAAGACTAAGCAGAACCCTGGCTGCATTTGCTCTGTAGCAGTTGATAAATAGGTCTGTAGACTTTACCCATATCAGAAGATGACTCTTAACTCTTCTGTAACCTTTCTGGAACTTTCATTTATTCAATAGGGAACATCCCATTCTCATAAACTAACTGTTGAGTTAGGATATGTCCCTAGAAGCAATCAAGAGAATTCTGTGGCACAGATTCCCCCCCCCCCTTCTGTCACTGTTTTTGACATGCACTGGGTCTTAAACTGCAACACTAAACAGATCTACTCAAAAGAAAGCCGTGTTTCATTCAATGAGGCTTACTCCCATGTAAGTTTGGCAAGGATCACTGCCTTACTAAATTTCGTTCCATTTGTCCTATCCACTTGTGTTGGAGGGGTACTTGACAATAATGGCTACAAAACATTTAGACTCCAGGAGTTAAGATGAGTACGGGCATGCTCTTCCTACAGCAGCCTTTCTTCCAGAAGGAAGTGTTGGCTACTGGGTCTGTTATGTGCTCCTCCTCCAACTTACCTGGTTGAGATAGTCTAGAAAGTGAGATAGTAGTCTTCAGTGGTCTTGTGTGAGCCTTGCTGACTTTTCCAGATTGTTGCACAAGTCTTGTATACAGTTAAAACACTGTTGGTTAGTATATAAACAATTTGAGCTAACTTCTTGAGTAAGGGATTCAGACCACCCCAGTTCATTTTGGAAGGGTTTTCCTGTTTTGGTTGGTTATTGCCTGGCAGCAGGGAGTGCCATTATAGGATAAAGCAATACGCTTAATTGCAGCTGGAAGTGAAATGATTGGTACTAGTCGCTAGGTAACTGAGTTTTCATCACACCTCATTCCTTCTGAGATCAGATTGGAGAGGTTACAGTTGATCTGCGTGGAAAGTTGCCTTGTACTGTGCCAGAGGATTAGTTTTTAAAAGTGGTGAATGAGAAATAAAATGAATCTTTATATGCCCATTGGGTATGGCCATGTAAAGTTAACTCTTCCCTTTCTCTCTCTCCTTGTCACTTTAACCTCCTGTCACACTCTCTCTTCTCTATCAGCTGGAAGGCTGGGAAGATGCTAGATGGGAAGAGATCTGCTCT